TTAGACTGCTCAAATTAAGCATCTACTGGTATAACCATCTTCCCTGTGGGAACACATCACCACATGGAGGCACCCCATAGAGAGATAAATGCATCTATCTTACAGACTTGCCAGAACTTAAATAATACAACTTTCAATGTTAGCCACTGAGTCAATCCTGCATGCCAATTACTACTGACCTTGGATAGTATCTTGGTATAGCAGGTAAGACAACAAACAGATAAAAGTATGATCTATTCAGAGAAATGAGAAAAGACTGAGTGATACAACAGTTTTGGTTCATTTGTTTAAATACTCTTTGTACCCCAAAGGATTATAATAAAGTATCACAATGAAATTACCTCGGTAAAAATTATTTTAATAGGCCATCAAATAAAATGGCAAGCAAACAATCTATGTATTAGTACTTGATCTGCCTCAAACAGAAGATACTACTGTAAATAATTTTAAACATAAGCACATAAGGTAGAGACTGGTAGACTTAAAACTTTCAGATTTAATTTATAGCTGTTCACCAGTCACCTGCTGTTTTGACAATTTACTTACCAACTTGTGCTGCCATTTCTCCGTAAATTTATCCCCTAAGATGAGGATAATTCTTGCAAATTGTGTCACAAGCATTTTGAAAGGAACCATGAGTTATTGTGTAATGCTCTTGAAATTCCTCAGATGTAGGGTCCTACACAAAGTAAAGTATCATTATACATCTCTCTAGCAGTAGTCATCTGTTTGCATTATGATTTTCCCCTTATCCTTGACACTGTGATTGTTGGGCACTAACCTTACTCTAAGAAAAAGAGTCCAAAGTAAATCTCCAGGCCTGACCCAAGTAATTACACTTTTCAAGTCTTCATATCATCCACATCTTTCTCTTCCTTAGAAGGTATCAGGAAAATTAAGAATTATAAAACATAACTTTGTTTATCTTATATGCTTGGGTTCAGTAAAAAATAAGTGGGATAATTCAATGTTTTTCACTGTTTTTCATTCACTCTTAAGTGAATTTTATTTACCATATTTATAAATTTTTTCCTACATTGTTTTGCTAATTTCAACTGCATTTTTAAGGAGAAGTTCATTTACAGATTTACATTTTATGAACAGAAAGAATAGATCAGAAGAAGAAGAAAGGCAAACAAGCAATTAGTGCTATGGAAACCAAGCATTTTTATTGGACAGACCCAATGGTAGAAATTACCATTTTGGGATGCAGGAACCATAGAATCAATGCTCATCACTTTTGTATCTTCTATAAAATAGGTAAACGTAAACTACAGTAACTTCTATCACACTATTCAAAACTTTACTAATTGCTGACTTTGCTATTCAGGTTAGTCTGCCATCCAATAACTGTTCATATCTGAATTTTTAGTCTGTGTTGCTATAATATACTGAAAACAGAACACTCAATCTTCTTACATGGTTCTTAAAATGACTGAGTTTATGCAAAAGGAGGAAGGTAATAAAAATGGTGTCTTAAAACCTTAGTTATAAAATAGTAACGCTTTAGTAGTAATTTTTTAAATCCTCAGAATTACATTAAAATACTGATGGAAACTACTTTCCTCCTAGGTGAACAAATATTCTATCTTCTAATTACGGCAGGGAAAAAGCTTTGTGCAATAAAGAAAAAAAAAAAAACTACAGGATTTAGAACAGTGTTTTAATGTGTGCTAACCTAGCAACCTTGTGAATTTCTAAATCTCTTAACTCCAGTTTCCTCATCTGTAAAATGAGGACCATAACATCTGTCCTAGCTTCTATACAAGACCATTATGAGGATTAAAGAAAATACTCTATTTGAAAGAATTTTATAAACCACATAAAGATATTGAAAATTGTTTTTAACAGAAGTATACAAATTATGTCATAAAATTGTTTAGTACCATTTCTAACATGAAACAAGTGGAAATGAATGTGCAAAACATATATTTAGGATGATGTTCACAAAATTACATATATGATTGGATACTGAGTAAATTATCTTGTTAAAGTACACTTCCTACAGATTATCTTAAACTTCAGAAATGTATTTGCAACAAATTATAAAAAACAAAACTAATAATTCATTTAAATGGATTGTTCTAGCATTTGAAGAATATATTTACTTTATGAATTAAGAAATTTAGACACTAACTTTCAAAACTACTTTAAAAGTTCTTATGAAGAAAAAACACATTAAAGTCCAATAGACATTCACCTTCTCTGGAAATAATTCACAAGAGCTGATAGTGCGGAAACAAGGAGCATACTTATACAAGACAGGAGATAAACACGGACATAGTTTGTACTCTAGTTATAAAAAAAGGAGGTCAGTTAAACCTTCCTAGGTAGTTTTTAAAATATCCAGAATGGAAACACTCTCCCAACTGGGCTGCAGGTCAAATCTATTTAACTGCACTGTTAGGCCAAGTGATCCAGTAAGTTATCACGACTCTCAACAATAAATTGTCATGATGGGTTTTTGGCACAGGAGTCAGAACGCCATTTAAGACACCTGCATCTCGTATCAGAGTGCTTGATTCAAGTCTTGACTACTCCACTTCCCATCCAATTTCCTGTTAATGTGTACCATGGGAGACCCATGGATGGGGTTCCAGGTTCCCGGCTTCAGTCTGGCCCAGCCCTGACTATTGCAGTCATTTGGGGAGTTAATCAGTGGATGGAAGATCTATCCTGTCTCTGCCTTTCAAATAAAATGAATATAAACTTTAAAAAGAAAGGCAGCTTTATACCAAAACTATGGTCGATTAAAAAAAAAGTGTATATGATAAGGCTACCTCCTTTTACTTCTTATTAGTTACAGAATATTGGTTTGAAAGTCAGTTCATGTAAAAATAAAATTCTTTGCTCCTCCTCCTAAGTTTAAAGTTCCAATGAAGTGAACTATGTTTATTACATTGTCCTATCATACTCACTCAATTACTGAGACTTTAAAACCAATTATGATCCAGCAACACCTTATCATTTAATCTAGTCTGCAAACTCACAAATCTAAAAAAGTTCTGGGGAAGAGGCATATTTAATAATTATGTAATTATTTCAAATACAAATAATTTTAGTTTAAATGTTAAAATTTATCAAATACCTTCAATCAAGACTGAGGTTAAAAGAGTTAAGACTCAACCAGAGCAACTACCTCTTCTTGAACTTCTGTCTCCTATCTATGTAACCTAGAAACACTTCACTATATCACTGAACTGGGATCAGGATTTTCCTGTATAAACTAAGCAAGTCTAGCTCCAAACTTACTTTGTGGCTATTTATGTGATCATCTACATGTTTAAACTTAAAGCCTTCATTTTTCTCCCAGAAATCTTACTTTAATTTTGTCCCACAATGACATGCCGTTTCATTTAAACTCCCTAGTCTCAAAGTATATAGCATATCATCTCATATTTCAGTTATCTCCAGTTGTTTCATTTATGTACACCTTAAGTCCCAACCCAAGCTCTCAACTTTCAAAAGACAAAGTTCAATTTTAATTTTTCTAGTTCACACACTGTGTGCTCCTGGACAACACTGAGGTACTCACAGAAAAGGATCATAAGAAAACCCAGCCTTCCAACTTTATACTACCAAATAATGCTTCCAGGATGAATCAACAGGATGTGTAGATATAACACTGCAATCATCATAATGTCAACATGACCATGCAAAAGCCATTTCTGGCTAATTAAGTTTCCTCAAAATTTCATATACAAGAAGCTGTTCCAGGCCTAAAATTTCAACTTGAAACAGCATCCCAAGCTAAGCAAAAACAGTAGAGGGCCCACCTGCCTCTAAAACCAAAGATAACAAGCCAATGTCAATTAGCAAATTACCATTCATTTCCACAATCTGATTACCTCAATGCCTGAGATTCTGAAAATCCAAGAGTTCATAAAATATTCTTAGGCAGAAGAAAGCTAGAATTTACCTTGAGCTCTGCAATAATCAAACCTACTGTATTAAGCATCAATATCATTAATCCAACAAAATGAATTACAAATTAAGGCAGAAAAAAGAGAGTAAGCCCTAACTGCAAAGAAAAGATGAAAACTATATAGTATTTGGAAGTCGGAAAAGAGTGTTTGGCATCGTGGTGAGATGGTATCAAAGATGAAATAGTTTAATGTCTGAATATTCTGTACCCACATTAATCTCTCAAAAGTAGACTAACAATAGAAACCACTCAAATAATGAACTGATAAACATAACTGCCACAGAAAATACTTAAGTGCCGTTATTGTCAAAATTAAAAAAACTCAATATATCTGCAGTTTCATGTGACTTTACGACCTTAAAGACACTTTTGGTTATCATAACAAAGCAAAATTTGTATAGCAAAGATATTCTTAAATGTGGCAATATTTCATTTTAAAATACAAAGTGAGAAAACAGAACATGAAACATGACCAAATCTGTCAATTATTTCACTGCAAAATTTTTTAAGTTTAACGTATATGGTTACTACAAAAATTAGGATACTTCATGTTCACAAAACATTTAATAGCCAGTGCCACTACTTAAAAGTAGGTTAAGGGAATAAAAGGTTATCTCCAACTAATCCATAGAAAATTGTATATTTAAAATACGATATAACAAATATAAGCATTAAGTTATATTTTAGGCAAATAAGTGAATGCAGAAAAATTTCCTCTTAGTTTTTTTTCTCATATACAGAAACATCACAGTAAATTATACATTTAAAATCTATCCAAGGTGGCTGAACTTATTTACTATATATTCTGTGCCTTTGTGCTAAAGAAAATCTATACATGGCAAGCTGGTTTTCTCTTCGCGTTTTACATCATAACACAATAAAGAGATAATAGAAGCAAAAAAACAACCACTAAATAAAGTACTTAGAAGCATGGATACACAAAGGACAAATTTAACTCCTACTTTGCTTTTTAGAGCTTCATAAAGAATACAGGTTTACAACTATCATCACATGTCACTTAAAACCTAAATGATATAATTACTAGATACAGCAAATACAAAATTTCTCAACCTACCTGGTTTCTTTCTGGATTTCTCATGACCCAGTTGTCCCAGATCATTACATCCACATGTGTACACTGTCCCATCATCCAAAACAAATACGGTGTGTCTGAGTCCACATCCTACATCTCGAACCTTTTTATTTATAAAAAAGTCACTTTTTCTGGGCTCTAATACAATTTCTTCATCAATTCCACCCAAACCTAGCTGTCCGAAGGATGCATTTCCCCAGCACAACATTCTTGCAATTATTTTGGTCTTCCAGTTTCAATGAAAAACTTCCTTCTGAAACACTGGAAAGTTGGAGGTACCCTAAGTCTGAGAAGACAGGAAAAAACTTAACATGACTTCAATGTATATATGATACGTAATTACTTTTTCATGTGCTAGACTACAGTAATCACTGTAACCATTAAATAATTTTACAATACAATGCTACTATATAAGCAGCATTCATCTGTAAAAGCCAGTTTTATTTTGTAATGTATCACGTCAAAATATTTAAGGAAAAGAAATCACTCTACAATTTTTTGCAAAATTTAAAGACATTAGTTATGACTTTTTGTTATATGGTGACAGACTAAACTAATGGAAATAGCGTCTGGATGAAATTAACCAATTTTTTTTAAGTAATCTCAATGGAAGCAGAAAGACACCTTTCCACTACTCAAAAATGAAGGAAACGATGAAAAATTGAGCTAACAGCAGACACATCATCCTGCAATCCCCTAAAAGTCATAGCGTAATTAAACCCTCTAATACCTACCTCCACATCAACAGAAAACTGAAGTTCTTACCTGTAACAGAAATAAAACCAGTAATTGAATTTTTTAATTTCCCACAATTTAAATGACTTCCAATTATTCATACCAACAAGCTGTATGCAGAGAAAACCAGGATTTTTCAAGTCACAATTATAAGAAATCGCCTCCAAAAATTGTATTTTAAAAATCAAAGTACTAACACTGCAACCTCATCACAAATTTAATTTCAAAACTAAATCAATATGCACTATCATAAAGGAGGAAAATATGCTACTTAGATATCAAGATTCTTCTCCAAATTCAACGTCACGAGTGGCAACTGTGACTGAAATATTGGGGAAGAAAATTCTAAATAACCCAGCACTGCTGATTTTTCAAGAATAGGAATGGGGGCTGGGACACTGATAGTTTGTTGGCGAAATCCGCAGAACTTTCCAGTACATAGACTGAATATTTCTTCGACTGTAAAGACTCGGATAACAATCAACGAGTCCATTTCATTTAAATAAAACTACACAGATTTTTAAATACTTCGCATTATTAAACAACACCATTACTGAACGTCAGCTTTACTCCTGTTGTTATCACCCACATTCCTTACGCAAAACCTTCGAAGTTCAAAACCCAATTTTCCTACTAGCAAGCGCCAAAGATGCCCCATTCCACGACTCATCCATTCACACGTTGGATTTCATGCTTTAGGGACATCAGAACTGGATTGTTCCCGAGAGTTCTGCATTGTCTTTTTTTAAGAAAGACAAAACAGGAAAAAAAATACTCCCTAATTCTACGGGCGAGGCTCAACCATCCTCTTTAAAAAAAAAAAAAAAAAGTCAGAAGGGGTACTAGAAAGCCTTCCTCTCGCCAGCAACAGGTAGGGAATGAGAAGCGGCTTCGTCCCAGCTTCCCCGGAACGCGCACCCAGACCCAGTTCACGGGGACGGGGGAAGAGAAATCGTCCGCACACACCCAACCTCGCGGACAGCCCAGCCAACTACCGCAGCTGCCGGCTCGCAGCCGCCGCAGAGGCCGGCGGCCGAGGCTGGGCACCCCGCGGCCTCAAGCCCGAGGGAGGCCCTTCGCCGGGGAGGTGCCACATTCCAGCCCCGGGGCCAGGGAGTCCCGACCGTGCCCTCGCCCCCAGCAAGCGCCGAGCCAGCGCCTCGCGCCAGGCCGGCCTCGTCCGCCAGCTCCGCCGGCCCCTCCCTAACACCGTCACACACACCCCCGAACCCCACCGGGGCAACGACTCACCCGGGCCCTCGGGGTAGAAAATGCCCAGGGCGACTGCGGGCGGCCCCTCCCCAGGGAACGAGGCGGCGCGGCTGCCGAAGCAGGTTTTCGGCTTCTGGAACCCTCCTCCTTCAAGCCAGTGGAGGCGGCCAACAAGGCTCCTCCGGCGTCGGTGCCGCTGCTCCCCTCTCCGGCTCGCCTGAAACTTTACCGGGTTCCTCAGAGGAAAGCGGCCACCACCGCTGTCCAGTCCAGAGACAGCAGTCAGCGACCCGGATGGAGAGGGCGGGGAAGGACTGGAGGCGAGCTGGGCGGAGAGCGCGAGGGGTGGAGAGAGTTAGGGAAAGAGGCAGGGGAGAAGGGAGAGGGGGAGGTGGCCAGGCGGGGGGTGGGGGTGGGGAGGGGTGGCCGGAAGTGAGTCGCGGAGCACGCGCGCGAACCCAGCTACTTCCCGGCCCGCGCGCCTGCGCGGGAATCCTCCCGGGGCGCGTCGACCCTGCGCTTGCGCAGTGTGCAGCTGCGCGTAGTGGTGGCTTGCGGAGACGAGCCCAGAAGGCGTTAGTTAACGTGTTTTTAGCAACGCCTGTGCTTTTTAATGAAGCAGATCTCTTCGGTTTTTGTTTTGGTTGGCTTTCTGCTCGTAGGTTTAGTCGTTGTATTTTATTCTGCCGTTTCCAGGGGCGATTTTCAAGTACAGGTGGAACTAACAAATACGGATATAGAGGCAACTGATGGCTTATTTTGCTCTTTAACTTCAGCTGGAAGTCTGAGTATGCAAGATATAGTGATAGCAGTGGTTGAAACTACGCGCATTAAATACCAGCCCCAGTTTGTGTCCCTGATGCAGTGTTGCCTCCTGTCACTTTCTGCACTCTCCTGGAAGATAAGCTTAACTGCAGAACCTCCCTAAATTAGAGAAAATTAGGTAACAAATAGGACTCGGGTGCCTTCTTCATAGAGACGGAGTCCGCATCTCACAGGCCAGTTTTAACATAATCTCTTTAAAAACAAGAGAACTTGAAACTGGGCACTTTTGAGGTTTTCTGTTAGACTTTAAGAACGGTGACTGAGAAGTTCCTACTGAGAACCTAGAAGACAATCCGCAATAGGCCATGTTTCTCTCTAACTGAAAAGGTGCATTCCAGATTGGGAAGCGTCTGTGCTAGTATATGCTTAAGTATTTGTATTGAGCCATAACAAACTACAACAAACCGAATAGATTAAAACAAAAATTTAGTATCTCACAGTTACAGAGGGCAAATGTCCAAAAGGTGGCAGGGTTGATTCCCCCTTGGAAATTTCAGAGGCAGAGCCTTTTCCACCACACTGTCCTCACTTCTGGTGGTTGCCAACAGCCCTTGGCAGCCCTTGTAGAAGCTTTACTCTAACTTCTGCCTCCATCTCTACTTGGTTTTCCCTGTGTTCATGTTCACATTTCTCTTCTCATAAGGATATTCCAACCCAGTATGACCTCATCTTAACTTGATTGCACCTACAAAGACCCTGTTTTCAAGTAAGGTCACACTCACAGGTACTAGAGGTGAGGACCCATAACAAAAATAAGTGTACAATGAAACGATGATTAAGCAAAACAAGCATACTTCCAACCTTAGGAGTTATGAGAATGTCTACAAAACATTCTTAATTCTTATTTCGACAGCTTCATTGTTTTTTTAGAACTCTGTTGTCTTTTAACCTTAAAAACATTTTGCCTCAGAATAATATATCATTAAAACAAAGTTATGGGATACAGGATATCCTAAGACAGGCACTTGATGTCAAGACAAATAAAAGTTGAATGGCTTAGCATTAAAGTGTGCTTTTTATCTTTCAATAGTCCAAGTGCAAGTTCCTAATGAGTAAAGATTGATTTCCAGGGACCTGGGAAGGTGGGGGTAGGTTCTTAATTCTTATCTGGGAAGCGCTGTGTATCACTGTCGTACATATTACATTAGCTAAAACTACACACCTAGAAACAGAAGTTTAGGAAACAGTCATTTGAGTTCACAAGTACCACTTTATCTTGCACTAAATAAAGGAAAGCATGAATTGGACAGTTCTGCCACATGGACACATCTCTACATGGAATTTTTTTTTAAGATTCATTTTATTTATTTGAAAGGCAGAGTTAGAGAGAGAAGGAAAGACAGAGGCAAAAGTCTTCCCTCCCCTGGTTCATTCCCCAAATGACCACAATAGCCAGAGCTGGGCCAATCCAAAGCCAAGAGGCAGGAGCTGCTTCTGGGTTTCCCACATGAGTGGCAGGGGCACCTCCTAGCTCCTGGCTTCGGGTTGGCCCAGCTATGGCAGATGCAGCCATTTGGGAAGTGAACCAGCGGATGGAAGCCCTTTCTCTCTCTCTCTCTTTCTCTCTCTAACTCTGTCTTTCAAATAAATAAAATAAATCTTTAAAAAAAAAAGAGAGAGAGAGAAAAGGAATATACCAAATTCTAGAAATTGTTGTGTTAAGAGTGTTGGAATATGGGGCAACTTTTTTCTCTTCTCTATTTTCCAAATTTCTATATTTGGTTTTAAAATGTTGTGAATAGAAGAAACAGTACTTCTAAAATAGAAGAGGTTCAAAGTATAAACATGTGTAATTATTACATTAATCTAAAATTGAATACTGAACGTTAATCAAATCTCAAATCTTTCTTTTGTTTGCAAAGTATGTGAGTTATATTCATATTTTCTAAAGATTTATTTATTTATTTGAAAGTCAGGGTTACACAGAGAGAAGGCAAGGCAGAGAGAGAGGTCTTCCATCTGCTTGTTCACTCCCCAATTGGCCACAACGGCTGCAGCTGCGCCAATCCGAAGTCAGGAGCTTCCTCTAGGTCTCCCATGCGGGTGCCGGGGCCCAAGGACTTGGACCATCTTCTACTGCTTTCCCAGGCCATAGCAAAAGCTGGATCAGAAGTGGAGCAGCCAGGACTGGAACTGGCACCCATATGGGATGCAGGCACTGCAGGTGGCAACTTTACCAGCTATGCCACAGTGCCAGCTCTATATTCATGTTTATATATAAAGTCAAGATAGTAATTCTTTATTGAAATTTTAAACTATTGAATACTAGGAGGACCTTCATCTGATAAGTTACATATTAAATTATGTGATTCCCTGAAGTGAATTAGAAGTTTCTAGCTTGATAAGCATTGCTTCCAGAAATGTCAAACATTTTAGGACCAGGTATATAGGAATGCAAATTTGAGTTTGTGTTACTGAAAAATTACTCCTCAATTTCCTTTTGATCTTGATATTTCATTTCCTAGGGCTGCTGTAACAAATCACCACAAATTGACTGGCTTAACACAAGAAAAGCTTATTCCCTTTTGGAGGTTAGACATATAAAATCAAGGTGTCCATATGTCACACTCCCTCTTAAGGCTTTGGGAAGAATCCCTTCTTCCTTGTTCTAGTTTTGGGCAGCTCCTGACATTCATTGGTTTGTGGCAGTGTAACTCCAACTTCAACCTACATTTACATGACGTCTTTTCTTCTGTCTCTGTGATCTCCCTCTGTCTTGCTTTTTCTTTGTAAGGATACCAGTCATTGGAATTAGGCCACTTAGTCTAGCTCCATGACTGATTACATCTCTAGGGACATAATTTGATGACATCTGCAAAGCCATTATTTTGAAATAAAGTCACATTTTGTAGTTTCAGGGAGACATGAAATTGGGGGAATACTATTTAACCTACTACAATCCTTTATCAAGAACTTATAAGTATTCCTCCATTATCCTAATTTTCTGTAACCTCGGTGTTACTTGTACCTACCAACTGGATTACCCAAAAGGAAACTTTTTTTTTTTTTTTTTGACAGGCAGAGTGGACAGTGAGAGAGAGAGAGACAAAGAGAAAGGTCTTCCTTTTGCCGTTGGTTCACCCTCCAATGGCCACCGCGGCCGGCGCATCGCGCTGATCCAAAGCCAGGAGCCAGGTGCTTATCCTGGTCTCCCATGGCGTGCAGGCGCCCAAGGACTTCGGCCATCCTCCACTGCACTCCCGGGCTACAGCAGAGAGCTGGCCTGGAAGAGGGGCAACCGAGACAGAATCCGGCGCCCCGACCAGGACTTGAACCCGGTGTGCCAGTGCCGCAAGGTGGAGAATTAGCCTATTGAGTCACGGCGCCGGCCCAAAAGGAAACTTTTTCAAAGAAAGTGAAAGACCAGCGTTATCTATGGATAACTTCCGACTGCTGATATTATTAGCATGGAATTCTGGATATATGCTAAGTACATGCAGTTCTATTAAGTTCATTCTCTTCTCATTGACATTACCACTCTTCCCACCGTAATGATTACTTTCCCATTCACCTTTTTGCTGTCTCCTTGTTTTTTTTGCTTTCTTCTACTTCAGTATTAAAGATTATGGACAAAGTTCAAGTAAATCTGCAGCCTCAAGGATTTCAGACAGAACCATCTAATTCAGCAAACATATGTAGAGCACTTACCTGGGACTGGGAACATTGTTAGGTCCTGGGCAATACAAAGATAAATAAAATAACGTCTTGACTTCAGAATCTCTCTATTCAGTGAGACACAAAAACCATTAATTATAAGATATTAAAGAAAGTTGAATAAGGATTTATGGCAAGTGTCATTGTTTTATTGTTAACTCTGAAAAAGGCAGAATGATCATCCAAAATAATTTATGAATGGTCCCAAAAAATCATAGATTCTACCTTGAATAGACAACTGGAAAAACCTCCTCTAGTCATTTGTACCCACTCCTGATTTCCAAAGTTGGGCTGTCATTCAATCAAGCAGTCATATAGCCTTGCCTTATATGGTCCCTGCAGTGAATCCCTCTATCTTGAGAGTTCTTTGTCTTAAGGGCTCCATGTCATCTCTTTCCCTCGGCCTTTGATCTATCATTATGGCTTCAGCCTGAAACACACACCACAAGGCAGTCAAATATTTTACAAGTTTCTTTCAACAAATCTTTACTGAGCACCTAAAGTGTACTACTCTCCCAATTCTAATAGAGATAGATAAATACAAGTTGGTAGGCAGATAAAAGTATTGTAAGTTGTAATAAATACACATAAGGAGTATAGATGAAGAATAATAGAGGGAATCTTTGAAACAATAAGCAGTGAAGGCCTCAGTGGAGGAGTTGCAATTGAGACAAAACTTTGGAAAAGAACAATTACTCTCTGTGAAGAAAATTGGTGTAGAGAGAGCACAGGGACACCAGATACATTTGGAGACAGACAGAGGGTGGATCAGGCAGTCAGGGACTACATCAAGTAGGACCTATTAAGTTTAGTTTTATCCTTGATATCACTCAAGAGTTCAAAGCTGAGAGGAGGGCATAGATTATTTAGAACTTTTGCAAAAAT